CTGGGAAGGTGGCTCAGTGGTAGAGCACTTGCCTTGCATGCCTGAGGCCCTGGGTTCAATTCCTCAGCACCACATAAGCAAAAAGAAAAAAAAAAGCCGCAAGTGGCGCTGTGGCTCAAGTGGTAGAGCGCTAGCCTTGAGCTGAAGAGCTGAGGGACAGCGCCCAGGCCCAGAGTTCAGGCACATGACTGGACCAAAAAAAAAAAAACTCTAACCCAAACAGTTCCCTTATGAAATAGAACAGAGTTGAGGAAAGTGTCACCTAAAGGTCTTTGAGTTGGGCACTGATGGTTCAATGCCTACAATTCTAGCCACTCAGGAGGCTGAGATCTGAGGATCAAGGTCCAATGTGAGCCTGTGCAGAAAAATCTGAGACTCTTACCTCCAACTAACTACCCAAAAGCAGTAAGTGGAGGTGTAGGTCAAGTGGTAGAGTGCCAGCGTTGATGAAAAAGCTAAGAAAGAGGACAAGGCCATGAGTTTAAGTCTCAGCATCAGTACCCCGACCCCCCCAAAAAAAACTCTTTGACATTCATCAGAAGTCTCTGGAACTTCGATTTCAAATGACCAAGAAAGAATACACAGTAACTAGCAGGGCGCTGGTGGCTCACGCCTGTAATCCTAGCTACTCAGGAGGCTGAGATCTGAGGATCATGGTTCAAAGCCAGCCCAAGCAGAAAAGTCTGTGAGACTCTGATCTCCAATAAACCACTAGAAAACTGGAAGTGGCGCTGTGACTTAAGAGATAAGAGTGCTTGCCTTGAGCTGAAGAGCTGAGGGACAGCGCCCAGGCCCAGAGTTCAAGTCCCACAACCAAAAAAAAAAAGAATACACAGTAACTAAACCATCTCTTTTCCTTCGTTTACTTTCATGTAGTCCTGAGGATTAAACTCAGGATCTTGCACATGATCGGTAAGTACTCAATTACTGCCCCAAACATCTGGATGAATCAGTGGAAATCCAGTGGCAGGGAACTTTAGAATAAACAATGATGAAGATTCAAGAGAACAATGGCAAACTGTACAAGCCAAGCCCTCTAGTGAGACAATGGCCAGGGACAATGGCTTGATGGTTTAAATAAGTATGGGTATAAAAGGCTTCTTTCCTCAACATTACATTACCCAGGGGAATGGATGTGGCTTAATATGTTCAAAAAGTAAATCCAAACCAATACAATTTCCCTGATGGCTCATTTCTCAGCCTGAACACAGCACCAGTGGATTTGTGTGCAAGGGTCTTCTTTATCAAGTAACTCTGCTACTGTTCCAGCAGGCTGGCCACACTTCCCTAGCTCCCATCCCCAAACACCCCTCCAGCCCACCCCACATGTCCTCATCTAGGTCTCTGGCAGACCTCAGAGCCATGACTTGCTCTTCAAAACTTTTCTGCCACAGTATGGTTGCTTTTCACTTTCTGCTTTCCATTTGCTCTGAGGATGTGCTTCATAAGTCTTGATCATCATCATCGCCAGCAACATAGTCATTAAAATGCTGAGGCTCAGCATTTTATGGACAGGCAGTATGGAGAGAGAACACAGTGAATCGCCATCTCCTGGCAAGACTGGTTGTTACCAGGGCTGGGAAGGTGGCTCAGTGGTAGAGCGCTTGCCTTGCATGCTCGAGGCCCTGGGTTCGATTCCTCAGCACCACATAAGCAAAAAGAAAAAAGCCAGAAATGGTGCTGTGGCTCAAGTGGTAGAGCGCTAGCCTTGAGCTGAAGAGCTGAGGGACAGCGCCCAGGCCCAGAGTTCAGGCCCCACGACTGGACCCAAAAAAAAAAAAAGACTGGTTGTTACCAGTATTGGGATACCAGGAAACGGCGGAGTAGATTTGTGGATCCCCCTCCTCTATTAAACACACTGCTGCCCAGCAATTGGTTTTTCCTAGAGAAAATGAAAGCTTTCTGTCATCTCAAGAACTGATTCCAGTCTTGAAAGTCTGCCTCTAAGAAATGCCTCGGGCTTATTTAGAAGAATGAGTTAGGAAAGCAGTGGACAGGCTAGTACAAAGGGTGAACAAATGCAGCAGTGGTACTCGCTAGAAATTATGTGGACCGTGAACTGTACAATGTGTAGCTGAGGAAGGGAGGGGAAAACAGAGAGAGAGTGCGAGGGAAGGGTGACACTGTCCAAAAAGAAATGTATACTTGACTTGACTTATGCAACTGTAATCCCTCTGTACATCACCTTTATAATAACAATTAGAAACTTTAGGGGCTGGGAAGGTGGCTCAGTGGTAGAGCACTTGCCTTGCATGCATGAGGCCCTGGGTTCGATTCCTCAGCACCACATAAGCAAAAAGGAAAAAAGCCGGAAGTGGCGCTGTGGCTCAAGTGGTAGAGTGCTAGCCTTGAGCTGAAGAGCTGAGGGACAGCGCCCAGGCCCAGAGCTCAGGCCCCACAACTGGACCCCCCCAAAAAAAAAAGAAACTTTAAAAACACATACACAAAAAAGAGGTAGGAGTGTAGCAGAGTACTGGCTTAGCCAAATAAAACCTTGCTACTAAAATGATGACCTGAAGCTGGGTGCTGTGGACTCAAGCCTGTAATCCCAGTTATTCAGGAGGCTGAGAACTGAGGATTAGTTTGAAGCCAGCCCAGGCAGGAAAGTCTCTGAGACTCTTATCTCCAATTAACTACCTTAAAATGGGAAGTGGCAGCTGGGGCTCATAGTGATAGCTTACTAGCCTTGAGTTCAAGCCCTGGGGGCTGGGGAAAAAAAAAAAAGGCTTGAAAGCTCATCTCAACGGTGGAATACCAGCTCTACCCCAAGTCTAAAGTACCAGAATCCTCATTTCAACCACCCTAGGTACTTCCTGTGTGCATGGAAGGCCAGAAGGCCAGGAACAAGTGCAGGCTGCCTTTACCAGGACTTGGGCTCCCCAAAGTGCAGATAGTTGATGCTGTAGAGGTCCATGTCTTCTGTATGCCAGGCAAAAGATGTCTTCCACATGCCAAAGTACAGGTATGGGGTATTCACACCTTCAATAGTGATGCCACTCTCCTTTTCCACCAAGTCCAGGATTGTCTTCAGCCGGCCAATATTCCACTCATCCACATGCTGCCAAGCAAATGATAGTCCAGACAGGTTACATTTGCATGGAGAGGCCTCAGGTGAGCTTTCATGGCCAGCCAACATAAGGAATACCATCAAAAGTTCAGCACCCGTTGGTGCCGGTGGATTACGCCTGTAATCCTAGCTACTCAGGAGGCTTAGATCTGAGGATCACAGTTCAAAGCCAGCTTGGGCAGGAAAGACTGTGAGACTTTTTTTTTTTTTTTTTGACTGTGAGACTCTTATCTCCTATAAACCACCAGAAAACCGGAAGTGGCATCATGGCTCAAGTGGTAGAGTGCTCGTCTTGAACTGAAGAGCTCAGAGACTGGGCCTAAGCCCAGAATTCAAGGGTAGGGTAGGGCCCAGGTTTTGAGAATATAGCTCAGTTGGTATAGCTCAAGAAAAGGCATGTTGGGCTGGGAATGTGGCTTAGTGATAGAGTGCATGCCTGAAACCTTGGGTTCAATTCCTCAGTACCACATATATAGACAAAAAAAACCAGAAGTGGCACTGTGGCTCAAGAGTACTAGCCTTGAGCACAGAAAGAAAGGCATAGGAAGAGTGCCCAGGTCCTAAGTTCAAGCATCAGGACTGGCAAAAAAAAAAAAAAAAAACAAGAGAGAGAGAAAAAAAAAAGAAACCAAAAGGTTTGTATTAGCTGGGTGCCAGTGGCTCATGCCTGTAATCCTAGCTACTCAGGAGGCAGAGATCTGAGGATCACAGTTCAAAGCCAGTCCAGGCAGGAAAATCTGTGAGACTCTTATCTCCAATAAACCACCAGAAAACCGGAAGTGGCACTGTGACTCAGGTAGAGCGCTCGCCTTGAGCTGAAGAGCACAGGGACAGCACCAAAGCCCAGAGTTCAAGCCTTGTATTTGACATGGTTCCTTAGCACTAAAAAACAGCTGGAGACTAGTGGCTTATGCCTGTAATCCTAGCTACTCAGGAGGCTGAGATTTGAGGACCTCAGTTTGAAGCCAATCTGGGCAGTAAAGTCTGTGAGACTCTTTATTTCCAATAAAAGTACTCAGGAAATGCCAGAAGTGGGTTAAGAATGTGGCTTAGTGGTAGAGTGCATGCCTAAAATGCATGAAGCCTCGGTTCGATTCCTCAGTACCACATAAACAGAAAAAGCTGGAAGTGACACTGTGGCTCAAGTGGCAGAGTGCTATCCTTGAGCAAAAGAAGCTCAGACCTTTTCACCAAGATGGCGCTGAAAGCAAAGAAGGGAGCTCCTGCCCCTTCTAGAGCCGAAGCCAAGGAAAAGGTTTTGAAGGCCAAGAAGGCAGTGCTGAAAGGTGTCCACAGCCACAAAAAGAAGAAGATCCGCACTTCACCCAGATTCCCGCAGCCCAAGACCCTATGGCTCTGAAGACTGCCCAAATACCCTTGGAAGAGTGCTCCGAGGAGAAACAAGCTTGACCACTATGCTATCATCAAATTCCCCCTGACCACTGAGTCAGCCATGAAGAAAATAGAAGACAACAACACACTTGTGTTCATTGTGGATGTTAAGGCCAACAAGCATCAGATCAAACAGGCTGTAAAGAAGCTCTATGTATGACATTGATGTGGCTAAGGTCAATACCCTGATCACACCTGATGGAAAGAAGAAGGCATATGTTCTACTGGCTCCTGATTATGATGCTTTAGATGTTGCCAACAAAATTGGAATCATCTAAACTGAATCCAGCTGGCAAATTATAAATATACATTTTTTTCCCACAAGAGGATATCAAGTTCAAGGCCTGCCTGGGTTATATACAAAGAAAGTTGAAGGTGAGCCTGGGTTACAAACCAAGAGCTGTCTTAACAACAAGTATGGAAAGCAAAGCATTAACTGTAACAGTCTCATGGCTTTTAGCTCCAGTTCCTACGGGGCAGTGTCATCACACAAAGTCTACAGTTTCTTTTCCCTGAGTTACAATGGCCAGCTGTGAGCCCCTTCCTGTAAGCAGGTTCCAGATTACCATGCCCTGCTTTTCCACCTCCCTAGCCCAGGTCCTTTCTGTCATCTATCTCTACAAAGTATGACTTCCCACCATCCAAAGCAATTGTTACGACCACACTTCACGCACTGCTGAAACTCCTTTCTTCCAATAATTTCTAAAACGGTTAGAATTGATCAGAGAGATAATACCTCAAAAGCCCTACAGATTGTCTAAATCATCCAAATGCAGTCTCAAATACTCCCCCTTCTACAGGAAGGCAATTCTCTACCCCATAAAGCACAACACCCCAAGCCAATGCAAGCAGTTAAAATAGTTTCTGCTCGAGAGTACTGAAAATCTAAATATGTCTCTCTTCTTAAATATATACTCCTTTCATTAGATTAGTCAGGGATCTTTTTTCTGCAGAAAGCACATGGCTTCTCCCCCATCATTTCATTTTCTGCAATCCACCCCACTCTTTCAAGAACTCATCTTCTACCTCCCACAGACTATGCTCACAGCCCTTGAAAAAAATACCAGATCATCTATTTCACATGTACAGTGGGAGAAATAAAGTTCAGTCACATGCAAAATTAAGTGAGAATAGCAAATCAGTTGGTGGCAGACCATTCATTTGTTAATCTACTAATGCACCAAGCAGCTTTTAAGTACCTACTAAGTGCTAGACACAAAGGCTGGTATTATGTTGCAAATTTTCAAAAACCGTAGCAGGAAGATTTGAGAGAGCCTCACCTTTTCATAGAGAGTACCATTGACATCCGCGCCATAAATGGGAGGATTGAATGTGAGGTTTTTCCAGTACTTTCGCTCAAGCTCTTCAAATTCACTGTAGCGTGGGGTACAATACCTTTCAAAGTCAAGACAAACAAACAACACAAAAGAATTAGCCACTGAATAAATTCAGTAGGCATTATGAACCATGTTAAGGCAAGAACATCAAGACATTTGGACTAAATGATAGCTAATCTTGGCTTTCAAAACTCTAATGGAAGTGCCTCCCTCAATATCCACTCCCCCCCCCACACACACACCCAGGTCCTGCACCTGAGTTAAACTAGTTTAAGGGGGCTGGGAATGTGGCTTAGTGGTAGAGTGCTTGCCTAGCATGCTTGAAGCCCTGGGTTTGATTCCTTAGTACCACATAAACAGAAAAGGCCAGAAGTGGCACTGTGGCTCAGGTTCAAGGACAGAGCCCAGGCCCTGAGTTCAAGCCCTAGGTCTGGGAAAAAAAAAAAAATAGGAAAAATACTTAGCAAGATATACTCAGGAGGCTGAGATCTGAGGATCACGGTTCAAAGCCAGCCTAGAAAGGACTCATCTCCAGTTAACTACCAGAAAACCAGAACTGGTGATGTGGCTCAAGTGGTAGAATGCTCGCTTGAGCTGAAGAGCTCAGGGATAACACTCAGGCCCACAGTTCAAGACCCACCACTGACAAAAAATAAAAAATAAAAAAAAATAAAAACAATATACATATAGTTTGTATTTCAAATACTTGTAAAATCCACATAGATATGTATGTATATATACACATGCATATATACATACATACCTGATATAGACAAAAGCTACAGAAAAAAATCTGCATTCTTCAAACTTATAATCACCTACTGAGAATTTACTCCATATTTTATTGTATTTTGTTGGTCATGGGGCTGAACTCATGGCCTGGGCACTGTCCTTCAGCTCTTTAGCTCCAGGCTAGTACTCCTACTCCTTATTTTTTAAAATGCTACCCATTTAGCTAGGCTCATGCCTGGCTACTCAGGAGGCAGAGATCTAAGGAACACAGTTCAAAGCCATTCCAGTCAGGAAAGTCCATGAGACTCTCATCTGGAATTAACCACCAGAAAACTGGAAGTAGAGCTGTGGCTCAAAGTGATAGAGCATTAGCCTGGAGCAAAAGCCCTGAGTTCAAGCCCCCTGACCAAAAAAAAACAAAAAACTACCCATTTAAAAGTTATTATGGGGGGCTGGGAAAGTGGCTCAGTGGTAGAGTGCTTGCCTTGCATTCATGAGGCCCTGGGTTCGATTCTTCAGCACCACATAAGCAGAAAAAGCTGGACGTGGCGCTGTGGCTCAAAGTGGTAGAGCACTAGCCTTGAGCTGAAGAGCTGAGGGACAGCGCCCAGGCCCAGAGTTCAGGCCCCATGACGGGCAAAATAAATAAATAAAAAGTTATTATGGGCCAGGCCCTGGTGGCTCACGTTTGTTATCCTAGCTACTCAGGAGGCTGAGATCTGAGGATCACGGTTCAAAGTCAGCCCAGGCAGGAAAGTCCGTGAAACTCTTATCTCCAATAAACCACCAGAAAACCAGAAGTGGCGCTGTAGCTCAAGGGCTAGAGCACTAGCCTTAAGCTGAAGAGCTGAAGGACAGCGTTCAGGCCCAGAGTTCAAGCCCCACAACCGACAAAAAAAAAATTATTATGGGTGCTGAGAAGGTGGCTCAGTTGGTAGAGTGCTTGCTTTGCATGCATGAGGCCCTGGGTTTGATTCCTCAGCACCACATAAGCAGAAAAAGCTGGAAGTGGTGCTGTGGCTCACTGGAAGTGGCACTATGAAGTGAGAGAGATACTAAGCACAGAAGAGTGAACAGTGTGAGCTGTACTCGGCTCTAGCTCATAGGACAGGCTGCAAAAGAGACATGAGTAGGGGCTGGGAAAGTGGCTCAGTGATAGAGTGCTTGCCTTGAGCTGAAGAGCTGAGGGACAGCGCCCAGGCCTAGAGTTCAGGCCCCAGGAATGACCAAAAAAAAAGAGACATGAGTAGAAGGGAAAGACCCAGGAAATGAAGCAAGGGAAAGACAGCCATCCCTGTGCAAACTCAAAACTGCAGAGCAAAAAGGGAAGTAAGAAGATCTGATAATAATGATTAAGAAGCAGTCAAAACCAAAAGAAGAAAACACAAAAACTGCTCTCTGGGAGTCTGAGGTTGAGAATCCAAAAAAAAAAAGACCGTATACAACAGCACAGGCTAAAGACATTTTCAGATAACATACTGGCAAAGTATGGAGTGATACAAAATGGCAACTTGCTTGGTAGCCATATGGATTCACACCTGTTAATGTCAAAACAATGAGTGGGAGAAAAACAAAAGAGAGGATAACAATGTTTGACAATAAATGTACTCATTACCTTACATATGTAACTGTAACCCCTCTGAACATCACACCTTGACAATAAAACTAGATTTAAAAAAAAATGAAAGCTGGGTAATAATGGGTGACTCACATCTGTAATCCTAGCTAGTCAGAAGCTGACAGATAAGAATCGAGGCACCCGTGGCTCACACCTGTAATCCTAACTACTTAGGAGACTGAGATCTGAGAATCATGGTTCAAAGCCAGCCTGGGCAGAAATGGTGGTAGTCATGGGGCTTGAACTCTGGGCTTGGGCCCTGTCCCAGAGCTCTTCAGCTCAAAGCGAGCTCTCTACCACTTGAACCACAGCACTACTTCTGGTTTTCTGGTGGTTAACTGGAGATAAGAGACAGGGCTGGCTTTGAACCATGATCCTCAGAACTCAAGAGGCCTCTTAAGTAGCTAGGATTATAGGCGTGAGTCACCAGTGCCTGGCTTCTAGGAGACTTATCTCCAATTAACCACCAAAAAGCTGGAAGTGGAGTTCTGGTTCTAATAGAAGGGTAGGGTACTAGCCTTGAGCACAAAAGCTCAGGGATAGCACCCAGGCCCTGAGTTTAAGCCCCAGGAATGGCACAAAAAAAAAGAAAAAGAACAGATTTGAGACTGTAGCCAATGAGTACAGAAAATCTTTATGTTTCTGAAGACAGGATCCCCAGGGGAACTACCAAGGCCACTTTTTGACAAGCAAGGTATATCAACAAATCTGGAAAAAGTTCTTTTCCCAACCACCTCCAACTTTCTCCTGTGTAACTATATAATTTGCCAGAGCCAGGAAATTCTTCTTTTTCTAGAGCTGGCGGTGGATCTAGCTCAATGGTTGAGTACTTGCCTAGCCTGTACAAATAACTGCCTAGCTTATACAAGGCCCTGCATTCAATCTTTAGGACCTAAAAAAAAATTTTTTTTTCAAAAAAAAAAAAAAGCCCATATAATTATTTTACTTCTGGTAGGAAAAAATAGATTACTTTATACCAGAATATGGACTATCCAGGTATCAATAGCTCATTCTTAGAATTCTAGCTGCTCAAGGGGCTGAGTCATAGAATCAAGGTTCAAAGCCAGTCCAGGTAGGAAAGTCTGAGAATCTTATCTCCAATTAACCAATGAAAAATGAAGTGGAGCTATGTGGCACAAGTGGAAGAGAGCCAGCCTTGAGTGAAAAGACTGATAGACCCTGAGTTCAAGTCCAAGTACTAACACCACAAACAAAAACAAAAAAAAACAATACAGACAAATTTAGCCAGGCACAATTTTCTTCATCCCTGTATTTCTAGCTACTTGAAAGGCAAAAATCAGGAAGATGGGTATTCTAAGACCCCATGTCAATCAATAAAAGCTGAGCATAATAGTCAATACTTATGATCCTAGCTATGTAGGAAGCATAAATAGAAAGACACCATCTAAGTTGGTCTGGACATAAATATGAGACTGTATTAGAATAATAATTATAGCAAACAAGGATGGGGATATGCTTAAGTGGTAACACATCTATCTAGAGAGCACAAAGCCCTGAGTTCAAACCCCTATACTTCCAAAAAAAGAAGACTGAGATCTGAGGATCAGTTTGAAGCCTGCCCAGGCACGAAAGTCCATGAGACTCTTATCTCCAATTAACCAGCTTTGAGGAGAAAAAGCTAAGGGACAGTGCCCAGGCCCTGTATTTGAACCTCAGTACTGCCCCCACCCCCACCCAAAGGAATTCTACTCACTTATCACTGTTTGCAATCTTTCTGAACTCCCGAACAGTCATGGCTTTCTTCTGTATGTTATACTGGGTGAAGAGGCCAGACTGTCCAGTCACCAGCTGCTGGATGGGTGCGGGAATGACCAAGTCATCAATGTCATCATAGGATGCTCTTGGCTTCCATTCTTTGGGAGGAACAACCTACAGAGAACACAAAAAATAAAAGTCAGATAAGCTGGGTGCTGGTGGCTCATGCCTGCAATCCTTGCTACTCAGG